TCATCCAAGTTGCTAATGAAGAAATTGCGCAGTGAGGGCCTAAGGACCGAGCCCTGGGGGACTCCACTGCCCACATCCCTTCAGGTCGAATATGACCCGTCCACCACCACTCTCTGGGTGCGGCCCCTCAGCCAATTTGCGACCCATCTGATTGTGTAGGCATTAGTGCCACAGTCACCTAGTTTTTTAATGAGAATGGGTGGGAGACAGTGTCAAAGGCCTTCCTGAAGTCCAGAAAGACTACATCCACCGCAACACCTGTGTCCAATGATTTTGTGACCTGATCATAGAAGGCAGTCAGGTTGGTCTGACAGGATCTGCCCTTAATGAACCCATGCTGGTTGCCCCTGAGCGTCCTCCTCACTGCTGGTCCCTGACAGATGTGCTCCTGGATAATTTTCTCAAAGACCTTCCCCAGGATTGAAGTAAGACTAACGGGCCTATAGTTGCCCGGGTCTTCCCTCCTCCCTTTTTTGTAAATGGGTACCACACTGGCCTTCTTCCAGTTGTCTGGCACCTGGCCAGAGCACCATGAGTGCTTGTAAAGCTGTGCCTGGGCCCCACAATAACCCCTGCCAGTTCCCTCAGCACCCTAGGGTGGAGAGCATCTGGACCTGCTGATTTGAACACATCCAGCCCCTCCAGAAGATCTGCCTTTTCCTCTGGTGCAACTAACCTGAAAAGCCACTGATGGATGGTGTAGGGATGCAGGGTTGCTAGTACCTTCATATCCTGTAGTAGCAATAACAAATAGTGGCACATAAGCTATTACAGCTTGGGTATGAGCTTTTAAAACCTTCATCTTGCATGTGCTTATGGTTGAGTACAGAACTGGAGTTCTAGGGATTGCAGGTTAAACATTTCCTTATTGCAAAATGTGCTTTAGTTAAAATAAAATTCCTTCTTAGGAAAGTTCAATTTTGATAGAACCTTTTATCAGTCAAATCTGAACCAGATTTTGTAAACTACTTATAGTCTATGGATGAAAAACACTGAATGGGTCTGATCAAAATACACCATATGGTCCTGTACTTATCAGACATTGACAATGTAATGATTTATGTTGGATGTGTACACTGATGCAAATTACATTGGGACCAGGGAGGGGAATACAGTCAACCCCTGCTTAATGCTGTTTCACTTAGCGCTATTTCGCTATAACGCTCATTTTAACTTGATATCTGATTCCACTTAGTGTGCAGTGAGTTTTGTTATAATGCTCATGGTCACCCTCCTGGGTCATTAAAAACTATTGTGGTCGCCATCTTGGGTCGTCAGATACTTTCAGTTTCGCTTAATGTTTGGTTTATCAGGAACCACTTAAAAGCGCTAATTGGGGGTTGCCTGTAATGATCAGTTATCCAGGGGCAATTGCCACAATTGGTACTATTACAGTGCTTCACCATTGGTGTGAGTGCAGGTAATAGCTTGTTTGCACTGAGCAAATGATTACCCCAGGATAACTGCAGACAAAAGTCACTTATAGCTCTGTAAGTTGCATGGATGCTGTTTCTTCCTGGGGCTACATTATATTGGATTTTAGTAAGTTACAGCTGTGTAGGTCTATATATAGTGTGTCTGCTCCCTTTTTTCAACTGTTGAAAAAATGATTTACACCAGTATAACTTTGTTGTATATGCAGGGCCTGTAAGACCTAAATGTTTATTGTGAATGCTATTATTATTTTATGATCTGACTTGTGCTCATTTATCCTTAAGAAAAACCTCTTGACTTTTTTAGGAACATAGGACTAGAAGGGGCCTTTCTGTATCTCAGCGGGTGCGTCTACACATGCTATTATTGTGCATGGATAAACACTGGAGCTTATTGCTCTGGACTGTTTTGCTCCTGGGCATGCCATTTGAATGTACGCCCAGGAGCAATTAACTTTGGAGCAATCAGGTCTGGAGTTTATTCATGCGCAGGCTGTGGAGTTGGGTCAGAGCAGCCCTGGCTGGCAGTGGATACTACTGGTCAGCTTGCCAGCTCAGGGCTGCTCCCCCGGCTCTACATGCAGTGGAGGGGCTGGCTAGGGCATAAGGGTGCTTCAGCCTGGGGCTAGCCAGCCGGTAGCCCCCTCACTGAAGCACCCCCATGCTCCAGCCAGCCCCCTCCAGCATCTACATGTGTGCTGCTGTGGAGTTTTTTACTCTGCAGCGGGATAGTACTTGTATTTACTAGTATTGTATTGTATTTAAGCAGTACTAGCCTGCTGCATAGCAAATTAGTTTAATTCAGTCTAATAGGGGCGCATGTGTAGATGTTGAGGTGTTTACTGCGTATCTAATTAGTTAATTGTGCAATAGATATCTTGTGTAGATGTGCCCAGTTTCCCCAATTGAAAAATAGTGATAATGATATTTAACTACTTCCATAGAGGAGTTGTGAAGCTGAACTAATCAGAAGACCCTTTGAATCTATTGGAAGAAAGGTGTAAAAATCATAACACTTTTTATCTAATGAGCAGTATCATCATCATCATCATCATTATAATTATTATTATTACAGCTTAACTTTTTCCTTACTTGAGGAACAATTGTCAGACTTTACCTTTGATTCCAAGTAAAATATTGACTTTTTTTTAACTTTATTATATATACTTGTAATTACAGCTATTTTCCAACGTGTCCGGTTCTTTGGATGACCGGGGAATATGCCAGTGCTCTGTGTACCTGCCAGACACTACATTTCCCGTGCAGAAGGTTGAGAAATTGGAAATCATAGCCCAGACCCTGTTGCAGAAATTTGAGAGTGAACTGTCTAAAGTAAGGTATCCTTTTTATGTACCTGCCAATCGTATATTAAGGGAAAAATGGGTAATCATGAAAGAGTATAGCAGTCAGCATTATTTGGTACTCTTCAGAAAAGAGTTGTATAAGAATACAAGGTGATTAAATATAATATATACAGCCCTATAGCATAGAATTGATTCTTTGCAATGTCACATTGTATGCACAATACTTGCTTGTCTGTGATTCCTGTATACAGCTTGTCCGATAGGAAGCCAGGAACCCTGCATCCTCTGTGTTATTATTTGTATGTATCCAGCTTAGGAGAGGGAGTGAGGAAAAGAGGGCAATGGTGAATTCCAGCCGGACTAAAGAAATGGGTAAAAATATATTTCTTGACTCCTCCATAGTCTTAAAAGGTAAAAAAATAAAATATTTCAACATCTGAAGGCCGAGCAATGAGATGATCAAATTATGCATTTTTTTAAAGACAAACTCCTTAGCCTCATTCTACTTGGGTTCTTTGGTACAAGCATTTAAATCCCACAGAACCCAGTTAAACCCACAAATATCTCAATGGCTGAAGTACCCTGAGTGAAACAGCTTATGAGTACAAGGATCTGTATTTGGCTTATGTTAGGAGAGAAATTCAGAGCTTAAATTTGGTGTCCAGGAGAAAGTGTTTGCTCCAGCAACCAGGCATCTTATGAAATGAAGTGTCCTTGAATTAATCAGCAGAAAAAGGCACAGAACTAAATTATAAATTCTAACCATAAATATTCATAACTCTCTTCTGGTATAATCAAGAACAGATAAGAAGTTATGCATAAAAAACAGAACAACGCGGGGATGCAGGATCCTATGAAGAGATATTTTCAGTTGAAATAATTTGCTTTGAAATAACTGGAGCTAACACGCATTCAATTGTCAGTAGGGATATGAAGAGCAATTTGACAGAAATCTCAGTGCCTTTGAGTATAGGAATTACCTGATCACTTTAGTAGGAATGTATAACTTGACGTTAACAATCTATGAAGACATTGAGGTATGAACACTGAAGTCCCACATTGCTCCCCCTGTGCTCAGTAGCAACATTTTAATTGGCTACAAGAGGGCAGGCTCAGATCCACAATTCTGCAAAGACTTTTTGATCAGACAGGACTGACATGAGACACACTTGAGGCCAATCTTCTATGGAAATGCAGCTCTGCAATGGGAGTTTTATCAGAGTAAGGAATAAGTAGTGATAGCTGGAGTTTTAGAGCTTTTTTCAGACCTCTAGCAGCTTTCTTTTTTAAAGAAGTGGTTAGACTCTACTGGCATGGATGATATAGCCCTCTTCAAGTTAATGGGATAATAGAATCATAGAAAATTAGGGTTGGAAGGGACCTCAGGAGGTCATTTAGTCCAACCCTCAGTTCAAAGCAGGACAATCCCCAACTAGATCATCCCAGCCAGAGCTTTGTCTAGTCACATCTTAAAAACTTCCAAGGATGGAGATTCCACCACCTCTCTGGGTACCTGTTCCAGTGTTTTACTACCCTTCTAGTAAGAAAATTTTTCTTAATATCTAACCTAAACTTGCCTTGCTGCAACTTGAGCCCGTTGTTCCTTGTTCTGTCATCTGCCACCAATGAGAACAGTCCAGCTCCATACTCTTTTGAATCTTCCTTCAGGTAGTTAAAGGCTGCTGTTAAATCCCCTCCCAGCATCCTCTTTTCTAGACTATATAAACTCAGTTCCCCCAGTCCTTCCTCATAAGTCATGTCCCCCAGCCCCCTCACCATTTTTGTTGCCCTCTGCTGGACTCTCTCCAATTCGTCCACATCCCTTCTGTAGTGGGGGACCCAAAGCTGAACGTAGTACTCCAGATGTGGCCTCACCAGTGCTGACTAGAGGGGAATAATCACTACCCTTGACCTGCTGGCAACACACCTACCAATGCAGCCCAGTAAGCCGTTAACTTTCTTTGCAACAAGAGCACAGCTGGCTCAGATTCAGTTTCTTGTCCACTGTAACCCTCAGGTCCTTTTCTGCAGAGCTGCTGCCCAGCCAGTCAGCCCCCAGCCTGTATTGGTGCATGGGACTGTTCCATGTTGAGTGCAGGACTTTGCATTTCTCTTTGGCCCAATCCTCCAATTTGTCTAGGTCACCCTGAAGCCTAGCCCTACCCTCCAGCATATCTACTCCTCCCTGCTTGGTTTCATCTGCAAACTTGCTGAGGGTGCACTCTACGCCATCTTCCAAGTCATTAATGAAGATGTTGAACAAAACTGGCCTGAGGACTGACCTCAGGGGGACTCCATTTGATACCAGCTGCCAACTAGACATCAAGCCATTGATTAGTACTCTCTGAGCTAGATGCTCCAGCCAGATTTCTATCCACCTTTCAATCCATTCATCCAGCCTGTACTTCCTTAGCTTTACTGGTCTCCCTGCATCCACAGAGTCAGTCTGCCTTCTGTGATGAGGTATCGTGTTGGTCAGGCATGATTTGCCCTTGGTGAATCCATGCTGACTCTTCCTCATCACCTTCTTCTCCTCCAAGTGCTTAGAAATGGATTCCTTTGGGATCTGCTCCATAATTTTTCCAGGGAGTGAGGTGAGACTGACTGTTCTGTAGTTTCATGGATCCTCCTTTTTTTCCTTCTTAAATATGGGCACTATATTTGCCTTTCTTCAATCATCCAGGACCTCTCCTGATCATCATGAATTTTCAAAGATTATGGTGCCGTTGCCCGGCAAAGACCAGCACTGCTTTGCCACATGACCTGGCTCTGCAGGGAGCGAGATCTGCATCAGGGTCTCCACACCATCACTGCCCACTCTGTGCAGCCCTGCATTGCCGGGGCAGCGGGGGGTGGGCAGCGGTGGTGAAGAGACCCCTGGCATGGATCTCTGCTCCCTGTGGAGCTGAGTCATGCAGCAAGGGGGCAGTGTACAGCTGATTCCCTGCAAGACCAGCTCTGAAACTCCAAACTTTTCCGAAACATCTCCAAAACATTTCCAGAACGTTTCAGATGCCTCATTTTGTTTCAGAGATGTTTCTGAGCCTTATGTTTCAATTCAGATTTGGTGTTTCAGGTGCCAAAATGGTCCAAAACACCTCTGAAATGAAACAACAGCTGAAATTTTGCACAGCCCTAATCCCTTGCTAGCTGCAACTCTAGTTATGCTTTGGCTGTGCTGACTTCCTCCCTGCATGCCTGAGCAATAGGCTTATGCTCCTCCTTATTATTTTGTCAAAGTTTCCACTTCTTATAAGTTTCGTTTTTGTGACTTAGTTTACTGAAGAATTCCCTGCTTAGCTAAGCTGGTCTTCTTCCATACTTGCTCGTCTTCCTGCACATCAGGATGGTTTGTTCCTGCACTCTCAGTAAGGCTTCTTTAAAGTACAGCCAGCTCTCCTCGACTCCTCTCCCCCTTAGACTGGCTTCTCAGGGGATCCTGCACAGGGGTTCCATAAATGAGTCAAAGTCTGCTTTCCTGAAGTCTAGAGTCCTTACTCTGCTGCTCCCTATTCTTCCTTTCTTCAGGATCTTGAACTCAGTGATCTTGTAGTTGAGAAAATAGGGGTGGATCTACACATGCATTTCTATTATGACACAGAAAACTAATGAACTCTGCCGCAGTTTATTAAAAATACAAGTATTACCCTGCTGCAGAGGGTATACCCCAATTCGTTGCAGTTTGTTCCTCCCTAAAGAGACTGTCTCTCTGATGACTGTTCCACTGTATGTCGGTTAGACCCAATCTTGTTGTTGCTTCTCTCTTCTAATGGAGCAGTGCCAGTGCCCATCATTTTAAGATGTGACCCTCAGTTTTCAACTTCAGTTGTAGACAGTGAAAATTCTTGACCTAACCCAGGCTTCACTGAACTTCATCCTGTCGAGACTGATCAGCCAAGCAGCCTTGCAAAGCATCAAGCTAGATACAGTGTGACAGATCTTACAATGTGATCCCAGGCGAAGAGCCACACAGGGCTCAGAAATGAAAACAAACAAATTAGAGGTTAGTTTAACTACAGAGGTGTTAAAAGTTCATAAGTATTATGTTATTGGTCTGTAGAAAGAAAAAAGTTACTGAGCATTGCCCCAAAAACCTTTGATTTGGAATAATTTAAAAATGTGGAGAGGAAGGTGGCATGAATCCAGGTGCCTATTTGTACTTGTCCCATGTAAATACATATTTCAAATGAATTTCTCACCTTTTCAGTTGTGGAGAAATCCCTTTGGGTGTACACTGCCAATATTCTTCTTTGTTCCTGCATATACTTACAAACAAACTAAAGGAATAACACCAAAAAAATAATAATTTTCCAATTCTATAGAGAGGTAGGCCTGAACCAAAACCCTAGCTCCAGCCCTTGCTTCAATACATGTTGGGGAAGTTCAAATAAGATTTAGTTTTTCAACCTGGACCTATCTTTATGCTGTATGGGCTTTTATTAGACTGCTGTAGAATTTGAAGCAACTAAGGAAAATTCAGGCACCAAGGCTGCCTATATATGTGCTTGGGTGTGGGGGGAAGTTTTAATAAGAGTGGTTCCTGGATAGCTGCTATAGTTAAAACACCACAGCATCACATGTATTAAGTCCCCATGTTCTTAAAAATGGCCATGGGCAGCTTTAACTCCTTCAGTAAGCTTTAGTTAAAACATCCCTGCTTTAACTAAACTTAAACTTTAAATTTGAAAGAAGATTAATTGAGTCTGCTCTGACATGTTCTAAATAGAACACATTGGAGTGTGTATATAGGCAGCCTATATTCTACTATAGCCAGATTTTATTCTGTTTGGTATCTAAGTGGACTAAGGTGCCTAATCCTGATGTGCTGCTGCTGGTGGTAGTGGTGGTGGTAGTGGTCCTCCTTCCCTTACTTGCTTTGTCTCAAGTCCTTTTGCAGCTAACAGGAGTTCTTCCCAAGTAAAAACCAAAGTATTGGACCCTTTAAGAGATGCTATACATGTACAGCAAGTCCCAGATAAACAACCTGATTGAATCTCTAACCTTTTGCCTGATTGTAGGCTGCTAATTCAACAAGCACGGGGGCCCTTTTATAAAATCAGCAGGCAATGAAGTTCACAGATAAAAAGATGCTCTCATATTCCAAATCAGCTCAAACTGTAGGCTGAAAATATCAGGCTAATTTTTCATTTGCAACTTGAACCTTTGCCACTCTAATTATGATTATGAACAAATTAACCTTTAAAAATAATGTAGGAATCAGCTCTTCTTCTCAGCATGAGAGAGCTTGGCTCACTTTGCGTCCCTTGAAAGAAGGAAAAGAATAGGAACTTAAATGCAGGGGGAAAATGTGCCTTTCTCAGTAGGAGCTGCTAAGCCCAGGACATCCTCGTGCAAGAATAATAATGGAAAAAGAAAGCACGCCTTCCCAACACAGATAAAGACTCTGTCCAAAATAGATTATTCTGTTAGAAAATCCTCCTTGATGCCCACATGTGGGTTGCATGTCAGGTAGGTGAAATCTTGTCATGTGATCGTAGAAGTCAAACTTCCCTGAGGCTGTTGCACTTGCATATGTGACTTTTCAGAATGGTGGGCTCCTGTCACTTCCATCCTAGTTTCATTCTCCACATTTTTCCATTTTATGTCTTCCTTCTGCTTCTTCAGCCCTGCTCCTCCATTGTCCAGCTGTATGTTGGAGGAGTGTCTGTTTGTATGCTGAGAAACCCATGCTGATAAATACCAAGGGCAATAAATGAACATTATAGGTTTTTTTCCTTGCCCCTTTCATGACCTTAGTGTGCCAGCACTTGAAAGAGGAAAACCCTAGCAGGAATTATTCTGGAATATGCCTAAAGTAGCTTCATTCTAGTTCTGTAAGGGTGCAAGTCCTGTGCACTATTTATATACTCCATCTAAGGTCTCTAGTATGACCGCTAATGATTATTGACGTGTATCCTAAAATGTGGTTTACGTGTTGGATTTTTGAGAGGGTGTGTTGGCCTGTCTGAGAGGATCAGGGCCAATCACCCAAAGACAGAATCAAGGTATGGACAGAAAATTATAAATCTCAATGCAATTTGCATTAGTTTTGCGAACTGATGCACACTGCATTTCATTATGTCATGGACTGAGATAGTATGAACAAGGGGTAGCCTAAACTCTAGGCTTCCATTACTGGACCCGGCCACCAGGTGGCCAGAGAGCAAATAATATCATATTTGTGTTAACTAAATGTTTATGTCCAAATGGTCTAAGGACAAATGACGTCTGCAATTTATGCAAATGAATAAATTCTGGAGCTTATAGCTCTGGAGTGTTTTTTTCATTCTGGGTGCTCTTTTTGAATGTGTGCCCAAAAGCAAAAAACTCTGGGGCATATTGATCCAGAATTTATTCATGCACATCACATGGAGCCTGGTTGGAGCAGCCCATGCTGGTAGGGGACCCGGGGGGTGAGGCTGCTAGCCCAGGGCTGCTCCAACCCAGCTTCAGCTTCTGCAGAGGGACTGGCTGGGGTACAAGGATGCTTCAGTGAAGCGGCTCCCTGCTGGCTAGCTTTGTGCTGAAGCGTCCTGTGCCCCAGCCAGCTGGGGCAGCATCCTCATGTGTGCTGGTGTGCATGAAAAAACTCTGCAGCAGGTATTTACAAGTATAACCCTGCTGCGGAGTTTATTAGTTTTGTGCATCCTAATAGTGGTGCATGTACAGATGCCAAGACTTCTACTGTGCAGTGATTTAGTCATTAAATGTCTCATGTAGGCATGCCCACTATAACTTATACCAGTGGAGTTTTACACCCATTCTTTTAGAGGTAATTATCTACTGGACTGAGTGAAACTACCTTAGTTTAGTAGTTTGTGCCCTCCATTTGCTATATTTTTATTGGTTGTCTAACCAGCCTCACAGTCACAAGACCAGTGTTTACAAAGTGTTAAGGATGAATGGGTCTAACTGCCATACAATGGAACAGTCATCAGAGAGACAGTCTCTCTGGGGAGGAACAAATGTCCAAACTTAATTAAAAGGGATCTTGGTCTTATCACAGAGCAGCTGATTTGTGGTAACTGTCCATCTGCCTGCTTTTAGCTCGGAGTAAGTGAGAACTACACTGTGGCAAACCTATTTTACTCATGCAGAAAAATGCTTTAAAGGGGTCATGTGCCTTGGGCCAATATATGGTTTAGTTATCCCTTAGCCTGAATTTTTACAGGATTGGGAGTAGATTCCAATGTATACAGATTGGGAATAGATGATGCAGACAGTTAAATTCTTGCTAGGATAAATCATTGTATGTCTATTAGAATCTGTAGGACCATCCCAAATTTATGCCAGCTCAGGATCTGGTCCATATTTGGGTTTTAAAACATGTTTAGAAATCCCAGTTGAAATGCATGGGAATGCATAAATTGTATGTCTGAGAGCGTAAGATGGTTCATGAAATATTTTCTGTATGTGTAAGGAATCATGCACAAAGAGTTTGTTCTGATTTGGAAAGTAGCTGAGATACGGTTGCATAGAAAATTACAATTCTGAAAAGAGTATTTTCTTATCTTAGGCTCTGCTTTTTCAAGTAAATCACTAAGATTCAATACCAAGACACAGAATTATAGGCTGAATTGATCATATCTAGCCAGCATGGGTATATATACACTACTTACTAAAGTATTAAAGTCCAGTACCAGCATACACTGGATTTAGTGTAAACCTTGGAAAGAATTATTTAAAGGAAGTTTCTTTTGTAGTTGTTCCAAAGTCTCAGTTGGGAATCTGGACAGGAGAACATAAGGACAGTAGACCAGCAAGGTTTTAGTTTCAATAAAAACTCTCCCCATGTCAAAATTTTAAAAGAACATCTATGAGCTATGGCCTTGTTTAAAATGGAACGGAAACATTATTGACAGATGAAAAACATTTTAATTCATGTTAATATCATGCAAAAATGATTAAACTGATTTTTGAATTATTGGGCTGAACATATTCATAAGCAATTTCAGACAGAAAGGCAAGATTTAAAGGTATGATAAACATCTGAAAATAGGGGCATAAAATAGACATGTATTCTTAGGCCATAATTGCAGAGCTACTAGTGGGACATATTAGTAGCTGTTGAGAGATTCTTCAACTTTTGCAGGGCCATCAGAATCATTTAAAGGCAAATGGGCACATTTTAAGTAGTATGAAACATATAGAATACAGAATTATATTTTTCTCAAACTGTTAATTTTTGTGTAACTCTGATTTTCTAGAAAAATTCCAAATCTATAAGAAGCCTTTGACATTGCTCTTTACACCATTTGCACAGTGACCTTTGCATTAGCAGATATATATTTTGAAAGTATATTTATCCAACCATCTGTTTAATGGTTCCACAGCTGAAGAACTGACTGTATAAGTTATTCAAGCTCAAGGTTGAAAATATTTTTTCATCTCAAATAGCTTTAGTTTAAACTAGTTTTGGTATGGATAAATTGCTGTATTTTAAAAAGTATGTAAAACTAAAACTGTACTTTTTAAGGGGATCCAAAGAGCTCTACTTAAGAAAAGAGTTGCATCAAATATAAAATGCTCTCTGATGGAGTGTTCCTTGCAGTCAGTGAAAAGAAATGTCAGCATTTGGAGACCTCTCTCTCAGATTTATCAGGACACTAATATTTTTCAGTTAAGTCCTTCCTATTAAATTATCACTGCAGTTATCTGTTAGAATCTGGCCCCAAAAACTCTACACAAAACTGGTATAAAAGTTATCTTCCAGGCTAGGGACAGACATTACACTAAAACTGGTTTAAGTGATCATAAACTGGTTTAAACCTGTAATTAAACAGATATTCAGTGCACGCAAACCAGTTTGAAAATGGCTGAAACTGGTTTGAGATGAACCTGATTGAACGTAGTATCAGACTTAACTGATTTGGCTCAAACCAGTTTATGCAATGTCTATCCCAGACCCCTTCTTGGTTTAAGTTAAACTAGACTCCCACAGCATCCCAGCATGCTCTGTGAGCTGGGCTGTCTGCTCCACTGGAGGGCTGGCCCCTACCCTCTGCTCCCTGGCTGGAGCTCTGGCAGAGACTGCAGGTGTCTTCCTGGCTTCCCACTGCTCCCTGCTAAGCAGGGATTCCCCCCTTCCCTCTGCCCTACGCAGACACCTCTCAGTATTAGCTAGCATACCACACGCTGGCTATGGTGCTGTAGCAGACAGGACAAAGGTAGACAGCACTGTGCCCACTTAGGGCTTTTTGGAGCTAATCAACAGGTAGCTGTGAAGCTTTTGTTTTCTTAATGGGCTGATAAACACTGAGTTAGGGGTCATAAATACTGTGCTATCAACTGCCTTGTGGTTGCTCGGAGGGAGGATACCTCTCTAATCAGAGCACCCTTCAGGGGCCTGGCCATGCCATCCTCAGCTCAGCACTGCAGAAGAGAAGGGAGGGTTGCTCTAGCACCCCCCAACTTCTAGCCAGAGCCACTGCAAGTATGTGCTGACATTTCTTCAGTTCAGAGGGGATGTCTGTTCAGTTACAAACTGGCTTAGCCTAGCCAGGTTAGATTAACCTGCCAAGATTGAATCAATTCAGACTCTGTGTTTTTGAATGTCTGTCCCTAGCCCTAGAGGAAACATGGATGAGGAATAAAAAATTATCCACAAATTCTGTTCTCAGTTATACCCAAGTAATCCTTATGAGACTTCAATATGATTGCACAGATCTAAACAGGAGCCAAATTTAGCATTTTATGTACATGTAGCCCTGATGCCACTTGTGTGTATGGAATAAAGATGTCAAGCATCCATGTTATATTTGCTAACCTGAATTGGAAAATGTGCTTACCTTTTAGGTTACACTGTACATGAAAACAGTGGAATTGTATGAACAAAAAATCCAAAATCTAACCGTCAAGGTGGAACATATGGAGAAAACCAGTGTTTCTTATACTGAATTGGACTTCCAGTTACTGAAAATGGAAATCATACAAATGGAGAAGCTAATTACTCAGCTGAAATCGACACTTGGTGAAAGTAACGTGATCGTTGAACAACTATATGTAGAGGTATTGGAAGAGTGCTATTGAGCCATTCAGGTTCAAATTACAATTTTTTTTCTTGGTTATATCACTTCATTATTACATCGTCTCCAGTTGTTGTCAGTGGAATTATTCTGGATTTTCCTTGGTGTAATTTAAAATAAATCTGTATTTTTTTCTTTATATATGGCAGAAATGGAAACTAGAACCTCCTTTTCATTCACGTACCTGAAAGCTAAAGTTCTTGAATGCCCTATTGAATAAAAGTGCTGACTAAATTATTTAATAAATATTAATCTGTAGGCTCCTCTGGCTGTCAGCTGCTGCTCCTTAACTCAAATAATTTAAAAGTTAACTTCTCATGACTATGGTAGTAGCCCAATGAATATAAAATCAGGAACTGGAAAAGACTCACCTTCCCAACATACAATTAATCACATTTTCAAGAGTGTAATTTATTACTCACCTGGAATGAATAGTGACAATAAAGTAAAGCAGTTAATAGGTAAAATATAATGAATTTCTTCATTGTCCTCTTTAGCTATGGATAACAGAATATTTTATTTACTTGGGGAGGTAACATTTCAAGGAAAGGTTAATATTGGGGTAAGCATTAGTGGACAGGAATAGCATTCCTGTTTTCATGCATGGAGTTGGACAAGATGACCTTTGAGGTCTTTTGCAACCCTATGAGTCTATTATTTTTATTGCAATATTTTGCATTATGGTACATGATTGAGTTTCAGAATTACAAGCATTTTCTTGTTAGACATAATCAAACTTATTCTAAAACATAATCAAACATATCTTAAAAGCTTATTCTGCAGCATCTACTGTGAAATGATAAACCCTGCCTAAAATGATTACAGAATTTAATTCTAAACTTTTGTTTGTCTAGATCAAGAATCTGACTCTCATAGTGAATGATATGGAATCAATGGACACAAACAATATCCTTGCAATTCGTCGGCAAATTGTGTATCTGCAGAATCAGTTGAAGGCATGTGAAGAGCACAGCAATAAGACCACAGAAGTACCCTATTTCCCACCAGGTAAGCATTGCTTTTATTGGCCACATATGAAGAAATGTGAAAAGTAGGAGGAAGAGCAAATGAATTGATTATTAATATTAAATATAATGAGAATGATAACACACAGCACATGAGACATTTACCAGACACCTACTAACATTTTTGGCAGTGGGTTAATATGAAAATTGAGAACTGAAGAAAAGTGCTTTCATCAATTCTTACTACTTCCCATCTAGAAAGCAGCAAAAAAGCATGAAAATTTGTACTGGCCTCTTTTATAAACACTTTCTAACTGTGGGAACATTATGGGTTTTCTGACCAGCTCTGATATTACTAGCTTCCATGGAAGTGATCTGGACCTTGTGGATTTCACTTTCCTGCTACTTGAGAAACTTTTGAGCAGCAGTGGCTGCACTGAAGCTGTTTGTATGCAAGTTCAAGCATAGTTGTATGTTACATAGGGTTCACATGCAGAAGATTCATCTTGACCCTGAAGGCTAGAGATATAGGCTGCCTATACACATGCTGGAGGATGGGGGGGTGGGGCATTTTAATTAGAGTGGTTCCTCGATAGCCCTTGCACATTTCAAAACAGTCACAGGGTGCTTTATATAAGGCTCATTCAATGAGGTTTAGATAAAGTACCCCTGCAGCCATTTTGAAATGCGTAGGGGTTAATACACATGATGGTGATGTGACGCTGGAGCATTCTAATGAGAACATGAAGCAGACTTGATTATTTGAGTTCTAATTAGAACGTGAACAAACACATAATAGACTGCCGCCAGAGGTGGTTCAAGCACCTACTTTGAATGCCTTCAAGAGACATTTGGATGTTTATCTTGCTGGGATCCTATGACCCCAGCTGATTTCCTGCCCCTGGGCAGGGGGCTGGACTCGATGATCTTCTGAGGTCCCTTCCAGCCCTAATGTCTATGAAATATATAGAAACCCATAGGCTGAAATCCTGGATCTACTGAAGTCAACAGTATTTTTACTGTTCTCTTCAGTGGAACCAGGATTTTCCCTTAATTCTTTTTTTTTTTTAACAAAAAAGCAGCTTCACCTCAGTGGACAATTAATAGTGTATTTACCTCTGGGAAACCTTCCCATGCACTAATGAGAGTTTTTCAAGCCCTGATAATCCCTTGTATATATTTATATGGTTCCTATTTTTTTATAATTGTTATAAAAGAGAAAGATCTTTTATGTATATAAAACTGTTGGAGAAGAAATCTGGTTTTCCCTTCATCCCTGATAATTTGGTTAACAATCAGAAGGGAGCCAGACTAAACAGGGAAGGTTTGGGGAAGGCACTTTCTAATATACAGATAGTGAAGCTATACTGCCTACAAGGGCTAATCTCTCATCACCTTCAGGTTAGTTAGTTCAGGTTTCCCATTGGAAGGACAGATAAAATGATAAGAGAAAAAGCTTCCCCTTGCTTCAGAAAACTTTCCTTAATGACCTCCTTGGAGTTGTGCCAGCACTTTAGGCAACTACTTCCACTCATTTTTGACAGAAAATACGAACACCACCATGTCTGGGGGTCAGACGAAAAGAAAATATCCTACATTCAAAAAACTTTAAAGGCCTTCTATAATCCTTAGAAAAGGCTTAACATGGTTCAGTGAAAAATTTAGTGTTTTCAAAGTATTTGAAGGGCATCTCATTGATTTATTGAGGGTGATGGTGTGGAGAGAAAAGCTGCCTCTTTCTTCTCAGCCTAACTTCAGTTAGCTTTTATTACAGCTGAAATGTACTAAAGTCTTTAACAATAGCGTTGTGTTCTTCAGGGGTGTACGGCTGTGTGTGACTTCTTCCCTGGTTGACTTGACTGTAGCTTGTTTGTTCAGTGCAGCGGTTTTCACAATGCAGGGAATGACTTGGAAAGCTAGATTCTCAGGTAGTATAAACTGTCATAGCTCCACTGACTTCAGCTGAACTATGACAATTTACACGAGTTGAAATCTGGATGTAGATGACCTCCAATGCATGGCTATGTAGAGAAATTCTCCATGGTACAGCTGGGCTGCCACCTAGTTAAAAATGCTGGGAGCAGGCTGGGAGTGTGGTATCTGGGTCTACCATTAGGCAAACCCAGTGGTTATAATTCCATTTTGAGGGAAGTATTTAGTGACATGATTTCTCCACTGGCTGGGGCTAGAATAGTGGCTGTGCCCTGCCTATTAGGTAGAGTGACCATATGTCCCAGTTTAGCCCGGATAGTCCTGGATTTCAGAGGCCGGTTGCAGCTGGCTGTTGAGAATTACAATGTGCATTCCAGAAATGCAGCAGTTGCAGGACACAGTCTGGCTGGGAGTTGGTGCACCATGAAGCCTGGCATGCTGCCCCATCCCTACCTACGTGAGAGAGTGTAGGGTGGATGGGGGGGAGGGGTGTCTTGGATGAATGTCCTGGCTGTCCTGGATTTCCTTATGATCAACCTACTGTTAGGGAGTGCAGCTGCTCCGATAGTAGGCTATGTAAATACTTAGCTTTAGATCCCCACTCTAAGCTTGTTTCTCTTGGCTTCATGTGTTTGGTGGAGAGGGATAAGTGGGCAGGTATGTTCATTCTTTGTGCAGCAGACAGCAGTTTTCATTTCATATCGAACTGCTGGAAACTTTCTAGACTGACTGCTCACAGTATGGAACGTATTCTTCACTGAGACAAGTGGGAGGGAAAAGGCACTGCACAGGAACTTGGGGTGAGTGAGTGCATTGGGTTGTCTGGATGAGTCCTTCTGGAGGCTTCACATGGGCTGCCGAAGTTCCCAGTGCTCATTTCCATATCTGAGGACAGATTTCCATACATTTTCTTCACAAGCTTGCTTGCACTTGAGTTCCTGCCAAACCATTCGGCTTTCCTCTGATTTTCTTTCATATTCTATTTATAATATTTGTATTAAATTGCCTCTGTTCTGTTTTCAGATATCCCCTCTCCCACCTACACACACACACACACACACACACACACATACACACACACACACACACACGAATGCATGTGCACACATAAACATATGCGTGTGCATATTTTTGTGGTACTGTGGACTTGGGAGAGATGGGAAAATCTCCACATTGTCTAAGACCATGAGTTGAAGGAGAACGTAATTAAAGTTACTCACTATGTTAGTGTTTTGAATGTAGCCGTCCCTCAGACACCGTCTCCCCAGAGGGCATGGGGGGCTTGTTCTTAAGCCGGGCATCAGAAAGAAAGCAGTGTGTGCCAATTTCCCTGCCCTCTGATTGCAGGTTTCTAAATCTGAATCCCCCGAGCTGGGATTCAGACAATGCATGTATAATAAAAAAGCCTTTAAGTTATGATTTCTGCTATAGTCCCCAGAAATTGTCTGTATTTATGGCAGAAATACTTATCCAAACTCTACCATCCCTTTGACAAACTGAATGGCTGTCTCTCTTTTGTGCTGATTTCCACCAACTGCATCAGGACAGGTGGATAGAGATGAGGGCTCAGTAATTGTTCATTGAGGGCTTAGCAGCAGGCTTTGTCGCATCTGACTGAAGTGATTTGAGAAAGTCAGCAGAGAGGGTTGAGTCAGAGGAGATGCTGACAGGCAAATGGAAGAGCAAAGCTGCTTTTTTTTGTTGTTCCTTCAGGAACTAATACTAGATTTTAGGTTACTGGTAAACAGCTCTCACCAGGGAGAGGTCTCTGTTTCAGGATCATGCTGATTTCATTTACCCCAGGCCTCAGTATGCAGACTAAGTCTTGAACTAATGCGGGTTTATGAGTTATCATTGGAAAGATCAGTGCTTAAGTTACTACTAACTTTCATGGCATTGTAGTACCAGATAGTTTCAGGGCATCATTACAAACACAGGCTCAGTTCTGCAGTGTCTTCCATGTGAATTAGACCCCTGTGCCCATATGCAGCCTTAGCGATACTAGGGGAAGTCAACAGGGCCGTGAGTGTCCGCGTGCAGCAATCAGAAGGAATAATACTGTGCCCTTCCCGGAGCAGACTATTTTGTAAGCCTGGCTCTGCTATCCCAGGAGCTGCTCAGAAAAAAATTGTGGCTCAAACAGTTACAAGTTTCTTCTGATTTCCTCTTCTCTCTGGGAATGTTTGGAAGTAGGTGATGGTGTAGCCATTCACTGCTAAAGCTACCCCTAAATTCCATGTATAGCTGGGAATCTGGCTCACTGAGGATGTAGAGCTAAGGCTCTGCCTATTCCTGTCATCTCCACACCTCTTCACCGTCCATAAACTCAGGAGGCAGGCATGCTGCCCTCCAGTCCTTTGCATAACCACACCCAAGATGAATCACTTGCTATGAAAGAATAGCATACGTTCTTGCCCCCTTCTACCTTATTCCCCACATGAGTATCAGCCTGCCTCAAAATTTAGCTCTGATGGAGAGACAAAACATGCCATTCACACACCAGGATTTCAATTAACAGGGGCTCAACACAGTGAAGATAGGAGGAAGAAAATACTGAATAATTCACAGAGAAACATTTCAAGTGCCTCCTAATATTTACAAGATTACACGAGACTTTGGCTCTTTTGTGGATTTTTTCCAGACCATCCAGACAAGGGTGGGAAGTTTAGATTAAATGCACAACAATAAATTTCTCTGAACTGTGCAGAAGACAGATCAGCTTCCCAGACCTATCTCAGAATTTAAAAACAAAAAATGTTTCTGAACAAGTTTTCAGAAAATCAAAATCAAGCATAGGCTGTGTGGCACCTCCAATAATTCTTGATATCATTAAAACTGAGCAGGCTTCTAACTTTATTTTAATAATTCATTGTTTCATAAATAAAAAACAAACAAGTGTTCAGCAGAGAGATCTCTTTAAGGGAAGAAATAATAATTTATTATTTCTTTTGTAAAAAAGGTCTCTCTGCTGTATACACGTTTGTTTTTTATTTATGAAACAAAGTATGAATTATTAAAATCAAGCTGGAATGGTGTTCTGTTTAATGACAAGAAAAATGGTTTGATGTTGCATATATATGAGTTCAATAATGCTTCAGTACCTGCAAGGTTTGGTGCAGTATCTTTCTAAGTAGATCAACGTTTTTGAGATGCATTTAATAACCATTTAATTCTGAGATAAGATTGCTGTGATTTAAGTGCCATAATAGATTCAATATGTTCAGAGTTAAGAATGAGCTATAATGCCGGAGGTACCAATACACAATAGAGATATAAGGCAAACTGCTCAAAACGATTCATGGAGCTGCCAAACTGCAAACCATTTTGCATTCTTGTCTGCATTATCTTTCTTACATTGCATTAACCAATACATAAGCACTTCCAAGCATCTGTATCCCTGGCAAGTACTGTGGCCATGTTATTAGCCATCCTAAGTGCCATTTCTGAAGATGCAGCCTGACTGGATGAGCAGTGGTTTCCCTTGTGCTGTATTTGGAAATGAATGTCTCTGTGGTCCATCCTTAGTCCGGAAAGCACATAAGCATGTGCTGATCCAAGCCAAGGATGCTGATTTGCAATGCTGAATTGGAACTGTAGTTGACAGCATTTTTCATTAAAAGAAGAAATTTCAGCTCACCTTCCAGCAGTGAACTCCAAGGGCAGAAGACTGATCAGTGGCATAAAGAGTTGTAACATCCTCTCTGTCAGGAGCCTTACCTGTGGCCAGTAAAGCCCTACAAATTCTTGGCACTTACCAAGAAAAGTATGACCAAAGTGACAAGTGGATGATGCAGTGATTCAGCACTCAGTGAGCTCCATAAGCAAGCACCTAATTCAAATGCGATCCCACCCACATCAGGGACTCTCAGGGAGGCTAGTGGGTGAGTTCTTTCTCCACACAATATGTTTTGGCACAAGGGAACAGACATGAAGGAAATATATACAACTGTGAGAAAGAAGTAGTAGGGCTTCTTAGAGGAGGAAGGAAGGCAGAGTTTTATTCCTCACAAGTATTCACAAAATACCACGGTTACAGCTGACTACACATTCTCAAAAGCTTCTGCAGAATTATCAGGATTCCTAGGAAAGGCCACAGAGAAATGACAAATGACTCTAGACCAGAGGCAGTTCAACCCTCTCTCTGAATACTGATAAATCATCCTGCAGGAGTTCACTTGGATCCCTCTGCCCCTGGAGCAGTGTTCGGTATTTGGCAGACGCTAGATTTCTCCAGATGGCAAGTGTTTTCCAATCATTCCCATCTGTTTGTGAGCTGCTCAGGAGATGTTTCTGCTCACAAGCCCAGGCATCTTTTAATCTTGTGTAGGTAGTAGCTGCTGAAGCTTCCATATTCTGATCCACAAATGTTCTTCAACACAGCTTAAGCATGGACCAGCTAGTGGTGGGAAAGGATACTTCTGTCTCTATATGATTATTGTTTGTCCTCTGCACTAAGACTGATAATCATATTATCATATTAAGAAGTGCTGTGGACACTTCTTCTGGTCTCATCACAGGCTGGCTAGTCACTCAATATATTCTAAATAAAAAATACAAGTGACTTGCTTCAATGGCACCTTAACCAAAGGAGCGTGCTACAGTTCTGTTGATCTAGGTGTTAATGATGTCAACAGCCATCACCACGATCAATTAACTGAAACATGACATTCAGGTCTTGCCTGGCTTCTACTGTAAGAAGAAACATACTCTAGTAGTTAAAGCACCTAACAGAATCAGGAAATCATGGTCCTGTTCTTGGAAGGATCACTAACTTGCTGTATTAATGTGTGCAGGTCATTTAGCAGTGTCTCTGTTACCTGAGGTCACCATATTTTTAAAAAAAAATCTGGGTCACTTCAGTGACAACTTCTCTTAAGAGTTACAGTCAAGCAAAAGTACACCTTAAAAAACAGTGTTAGTGTTGCTGGTGGCAGTTTCTGACTCACCAGACATCTGTATATTTCTGAGCAGAAGATTTTTTTCCAGTAACTTTGTGTTCTGGCTTCATCAGGACACAATAGACAAGTGTGACTGACATTCACCTTGAGCCAAAGAACTGCTTTGAAGAACTGCTGATGTCCAAATGTGTTCAAATTTACTCTTCATTCCCAAGCCTATTCATCACCCTACATGCTCATGCTGCTGGGCTGTTTGGTCTTGGTAAACACAGAGCAAATTCTGTTGATAAGAGTTATACATCCTGAACAAGACTTGTGCAGCAATAAATAAAAGGAACAATTTGATGGATGAAATACAAAAAATAAGGATCAGTGGTCCTGAAAGATGTTCCTGGGACAGTGTATGAAAATCCAGGACTGTTCTGGTTAAACTTGGGCATGTGGCCTTGGGGGAACTGAGGGAACTATGTACCTATACTTTATAGGGATGTAGTGAGATTGGGCCTATTAGTGTCTGTGATTGCTCTGAGGGCCTCAGATGGAAGTCACTGGCCGTGTCTACACGAGATGCTGACTGCGCAGTAGCTTGTTACTACTGCGCAGTAGTGTCACGGAGCATGAACCACGATGTACTTGGGTATGCAAGTACTACATGACTGCGCAGTAACAACTGCGCAGTCAGCATCTTGTACAGACACAGCCACTGTGAAGCATTGCTTTAAAGCTGTGATTTTGACAGCAGCATGCTAATCTGAAATGAGCCGCTGGAACTGCTGCTGCTGTTCACTCTCCCTCCTCCTCCTAGAATTCACTGATGTACAGAGGCAGGGCAGCATCACTAATTACCTCTCACTGATGTACAGTGATTTAAGAGTCTCTTTTCTCCTTTCCCTGTCTCCCATATTTTCATCCTGAAATTGAATAGTATGTGTGATTTCATAGCTTGTCTTGTGAGTACCTTTGATACGTGGAAACAGAAATTTGGTTGCATATTTGGAATGGCAAACTGATCACTTGTTTTTACAAGTGCGTACTGACAAAGTGGGTACTGACAAAGGGTATGGATGTCTATAATTTGTTGCTGTTGCTTCTTCACCATGAACATGGTTCAAGTGAATTGTGCCTAGGAGCAGTATAACACTAAAACAGGTGGAGATCCTGAATAGACAAAACCTTTACACCAGTTAGCGTTATATTGGTGTAAAAAAGGAGTGGATAGACCAAGAAAACTCCTAAATGGAGGTAACTCTGCCCAATTACGTGGAAAATCATCCTGAAAGAATCAAAGTACAATTCTACTGATATAAGTTGCACTGCTTTAGGTTTTGTCTATTTCCATCCTATGGTAGCTGTTTGCTAAAGGGCATGTTACAGCAAGAAGCAATAATACTTGTCTACTGCCAGCAACTACCCTGCAATAACTGCTTATCCACCTTCCCATTATCCAGGTGTAATGTATATTGGTACACAAAACTGATGAAAATTATACCAGGGTATGCGTTTTTCTGAAGCAATGACAGTAGTGAAAGCAGCACAGATGTGCTGTTTACGTAGCGTAAACATTAGTGCAAACTGAATCTTTTACAATCAAAATATGCATTTCTGTTCTTTTCAGCAAAGTGAGTTCTTAAAAAGGACTGCATAAAAGCCTGTTTCATAAGCATACCAGTTTGAAACCCTGTATTTTCTCTTTGTTTTCAGGTAGCTGTACTCATGGTGGAATTCTCAATGTCAGCCAACCCTACAATATACAGTTGAACTGGAGAGGATTTTCCTACAAGTATGGTGCCTGGGGAAGGGATTACTCTCCTCTTACCCCTGAGAAGGACCTTTACTGGGTTGCACCTTTGAATCCAGATGCAAGATACTTAGAATATTACAGACTTTACAATTCCTATGACGACCTCTTGTTACACAAAAATCCTAGAGAGTACCGAGTGGTATTTGGGGAGGGCAGTGGCACTATAGTTTACAAAAATTTCATGTACTTTAATTATTATGGTTCAAGAGAGATAGCCAAACTTGATTTAAATACGAATACCATAGTTTTGAGGAAAGCTCTGCCAAATGCTGCTTATGGTAATCGTTTCTCTTATGCTGGTGTTGCATGGCAAGATATGGACTTCTCTGTGGATGAAAATGGATTGTGGGTAATTTATTCAACTGAGGCCAGCACTGGTAACATTGTGATTAGTAAACTCAATGAGACCTCACTTGATGTGCTAAATACTTGGCAGACAAAACAGTACAAGCCATCTGTTTCCAGTGCCTTTATCATATGTGGTGTTCTATATGCCACAAGAACTGTGAACACCAGGAAAGAAGAAATCTTTTATGCTTATGACACAAAGACTGGACAGGAAAGTCAAATCAGTATCATTGTGGATAAAATGTTAGAAACAGTCCAAAGTATCAATTACAGCCCTGGTGACCAACGGCTTTACATCTATAACGATGGCTACCTTATTAGGCATGGTCTAACCTTTAAATCTATGTTACAGTAATATGAATATATAGAAGAGTTGGACCATTACAGATGTGATATTCCTCTGGACAATATTAATGCTAATTTTAGGTTTGTTCTGAAGAGAACTAGCAATTGGGCATGGGGTTTAGTATGACAGATAATTCCACTGAAGAGATAACTTATCATAATAAATGCTATACCTGGGAATTACTGTTTGCAAGATGGGATTCATGTTTTAATTAGTGCTTTAATACAATGATGATAGGTGAATGCCTATTTTGATGTAACAAAGAGAGGCTGAAACTGCATTTCCTTATAATTGTTCAAAATATGGAAGAAAAAGAATTCCCTTATATATAGGTCCCACATACTGCTAAATATAATATATAACATTGGTGCCATATACCGCTAAAGGATTAAAGTTAGAAGAGAATTAAGACTTGATCTATGAAGAGAACTTACTGATTAAGATGAAATGCTAGAAAGGCCATTGCTATATAATAATTCCTTTCTTGCAATCTGCTAAGGTATTTAGACAGCAGGACTACCCTACATCACTTCCTTAAAAGCTGCACTCCAGAAAGCACCTGCATATATTAACAACCTTAAATAGTTACATGTTCTCAGCACTATGTCCTTGGGGCTTGATCGAATGCTAACTGAATACAATGGACATATTTCCATTGACCCCAGTGATCTATAGGCGAGGTCTTTTATGCATGCCAGATGTTGCACAAGAACAGAACCTATGTTATCTGCATGCTTCCATTCAGCCTTTTTTGGCATTCTGTAATTAGATTAATCTGAACTCAATTAGCCTGGAGTCAAATTCATTCTTGGTGCAACTCCATTAGCATCAGTGAGAGAATCTAACCTATGCTATTTATATCCCATAATTCTGGATGCTTACTTTACTTTTATTTTACTTTTACTTTACTTTTATTTACTTTACTTTATCTACTGTTTCTAAAAGGTTTTTCTTCATTGCCAATATCTGTCCCTTAATCATGTCAGAAAATATGAAGTAAGGAGCTGCCCAGTTACAAAAATGCTATGAATGTTGTATTTCTTGTATTAGATGCACAGCAATGTCTTTGCCCCAAGACAAATCTGCATAAGTAGATGTAAATGATTCATTTTTGCTTAATAAAGAATTATTTTAAAAATCCAACTTGGGTTCTGTAGCCTTTTGAGTCATGTTGTAACAAATGGGAAACTTTTGTGTCAGCAGGAAGGCAACTTGACCAAACCTTTGAAACAGAATCATTCCACTCGTTTGGCTGCAAGTGCTTAAACAGCTCCTGGAACAACATGAGCTGTGAATCAATATGTCAGTAAGCATGTAAGAGAGGCTTTATTTTCCTGTACACATATATGCTGGTTGGTTTGGTTAAGATTCTCCACCAAGCTGCAATTTTACTTGAGAGGTCTGAGGCTGATTCGTTGATGACACATGTTTAAGCCAGGTGCTGTCACTTATCAGGTATCAGCATCTGTTTCCTGAAAATGTGCAAAGTGAATTTGAAAACCACTGAGTTGCTGATGAAGTAATCTGATCAACCAGCATAGTTAACATTGGTTTGTAAAAAATCCACAGCAGCCCAAATGAATCTCTGTTTAATAAAAGAAAAGGCAGCAGTTTCATTCTCTCTCCACGTTTGAGGGGCTGGGTGGTGTTAATTATTTCAATAATTACCATGACTTTTCACTATGAACAGAAGCCTGGGAACAAATTCAGAAACGAATTTCTTTGAAGGTCCATTCTTGATCTGATACTTTTTCCATTTATGCATCTAGTTGTGTCTCTGACCTCCTCCTGTACATGTTTAACCATGAGCTGAAATATAACTTGTTTAAAATAGAGCTCCTTACATTCCTTCCCCAAGCCTCCCTTTATCACTGTTAACAGTGGGCCCATCCAGCCCATAATTCAGCTTTGTCATGGGGAGTCCCATGATCCCAAGATCCAGTCTATATTCAAATCTTGAAACTTTGTTCAACCAAATGTTTTAATGACCTGCCCTTTTCCCTCAAGTTCATAGCACTAAGGGTGTTTGTACACATGACGACGTTACCATGTACACGTGATGAAAATGTCCTTTTGTGTGGCTTAATGGCATCACGCTTTACACGTATGCGAGTTTTGGGGTTTTTAAACGAGTTTGCACCATCTCAAACTCAACGACATCCTGATGTAGTTTAATTTGCAATGTTGGAACTTGGAATATTGCAGCCATTAAGCTGTCAGCTCGCCCCCCCGCCAATCCGGCTGAGGGAGAGGCAGGCAGGCTCTCCTGAAAAAAAGGATCAGGCCCCTCACTGCTTCTGCCTTTAGCAGGTGCCTGTAGCTACCAGGATGCCTAAGGCTGCCCAGGAATGGGCAGTGTAGGGAGGCAGTAGGAAGGCAGCTGGGTGTGCTGGCAGCCAGAGAAGGTGAAAGGGATGGTGCACAAGGTGCTGGAAACCTGGACAGGCTCAGGGAAGAGTTGGATTGGGCACCTCTGAGCTGGGGCAGCACCCAGCCCGCTAGCAGCCCACCCAGCCAGCCCCGGGGGGCGCCACTGCTGCAGAGGGAAGGACCAGGGCCTCAGCAGCTCAGGGGCTGCTCAGCTGGCTGGCAACTTGCTCCCCCACTGTGGGAAAGGTGGGCAGGCTCTGCCAAAAAAAACCCAGTCAGGCCCCTTGCTGGCACCTGTGGCTGCCAGGCAAATTACATGTATACAGCGACAGAAAAATAAAACCCAAGGTTTCAATTAAAAATTCACCATTTCAGTTTAGGGGGCATAGATTGCAACCCTGAAGGACTAAACCCATGTCATGTGTACAAGCATCCTAGAAGTCTAACTCAAACTCTTTTCAGCCTCATCTTCACACATTCTGGACGTTCCTGACATCCCCCTTGCTCCCTTTCAAATCTTTTCAAGACACTGTTACACAATTGTCTCTGGCTTGCCACATGTTGTTTGTCTTGAGTCCTATTCAGCATGCCAAATACAAGTATTTTTCTATTCTCTTCATAGCCTACCCTCTTCTTATATAGATGTACTAGCATCTTATTTTCAGCTTTTGCTCTGTCGATGGCACCAGCCATTATTCAAGTATTTACTTCTGAGACAAATACTTTCCTGCTTTTTACATGCTGACTGTTATATACAAAACCTAAGATTTATGCACTAAGCCATGAGTCTCGTTCTCTGGTCTAATTTATAATTCACATTAATGCCAACTTCTTCCGTGATATCTATGGTAAATTGCCAACTGATTACAGATCAATAGAAGTCTTCAGTAGGGATTTCTGAGATGTTTCCTATTTATTTACAAGGTATATTGATATTAAAAAGTAACTGATTGTAAACCATGGATCTGGTCTGTGTAAATGAATGTTTTTATGACTCTCTCTTTGTTCTTATTCCCCAAATCGTTGTTTGCTACATCTGTCTGTAAATAGTGTTGTGGGCCTCACTAGGGAAGGTCTGCTTCTTGCTCTGTTTTAGTTGAGCATTTGACATAATAGGCTCCTCTGCACATTGTGCCTTTTAGGTACTACTGTGATACAAACACTCAGCAGCAATAATAGCATGCCGGGGATTTTTTGTGCATCTGTGTTTTTGTCTGAATTTTCATGCATGTTGCTATGTGGATAGAATATAAATTGGCTGTGAAAAGTAGGCAAACAATATGCTTCCAGACAACTGTGTAAACATTCTGTTGGAAACAGTTTCACTAGTCATTGCTCATAATGTTACATCAATTCAGCCCTACATTTGTAAACCATGAGATGGAATCTCTTTTTTCCCCTCAGTAGATTCTGCTACTCTTTGCATCAGTGAGCAACAGGGCTCCCCAAAACAGGGACTAACACCACCAACCTGAGCCAGCATACAGCATGCAGTCACAGTCTTTCCACCACTGCTCTATTGGTGCAACTTTCTTCTAAATCTACATTACTTGGGACTTCTTTGAAAACAATGACTTACAATCTCTGCTGAAGCTTCTTGAGGAAATCCATTGCTATTTGTTCTAACTCTCTTTCTGAATTCAAATGAAGAGTTCTAGTTCCTTAATATTTTTCAGTTAATCAGTTATTTTTTAACAAAAATAGGCTGCTCAGTTATGCGCTTTGACTTTACCTGCACCTTCATTCTTTGTTCTGATTGCTCTGACTTCATCAGTTCGGCAGCAGTAAGTTACACATTTACCCAGGAGTTTATATATATTTTTTTAATTCAGAAAGGTCAAGCCACATGTGTGCATCTACGAGTACCAGAGTATGTGTGTGTGTCCCTCTATCTGATCTGCAGAGGGTCTGAGTAGATCATAACCCTGGGGATAAAGCCTTAGATCAAGCTGTAATAGCTAAAGCATTGAGCCTAGTAGGACTGGATTTCAATTCCTTTTGTGTGAGCCAACAAACCAGTCATTACAGACATATGTGTGCACACTCAAAGCTACCATCCTTCTGTTAGCAAGACTGATTTAAACTGAAGTTATCCTGCACATAGAGATTATTACCTGCACCCTGCTAACTCACCCATCTCTTCAGGGACTCTCCACTAGCAAGTTATACATTGGTAAAACAGTACAATGTCCTTAGTGTGGATACAGGCCTGTTGACATAAAGTTGCGTCAGAGGGGTACATGAATATGAATAAATGATTGCATCTTATAAGCTATGTTTATAGTGTTATAACTGTGTCTGCACTTGGGATTTTAGTGAAACACGTATTCCAGTAAAAAAAATACCCCACTAACAAATAAAGTTATTATGGGACCTACTGTAAGGGTACCTTTTAGACAAGGCCTAAGTCTAATGTTTCAAGACTCTGAATAGCTTGAAAAAGACATGTTTAAATATCATCAATAAAATTGCAATGGTTTCCTTCTTTTAACAACAGTAGTTCAAATGAAGTCTTGCTGTCCATTTGTTCCATTTGTCATTTGAACAGTAGTTCAAATGAAGTCTTGCTCTAGCATTTGTTATGTGATCAGTCATGGCTTCTGGGTTTGTGTCTGTAGTGCCTGGGTTTGTGTCTGTAAAGCATCCACACCTGAGGACAGAACGGTGATCCAGGCTGACCTGGACAGGCTCAGCAAATGGGCGGACAAGAACCTGATGGTGTTTGACACCGAAAAATGCAAGGTTCTCCACCTTGGGAGGAAAAACCCGCAGCATCCTTATAGGCTTGGCAGTGCTATGCTGGCTAGCACTACAGATGAAAGGGACTTGGGGGTCATGATTTACCACAAGATGAATATGAGACATCAGTGTGATGCTGCAGCTAGTAAAGCAAGCAAAACGCTGGCTTGCATCGATAGATGCTTCAAGCAAATCCCAGGACGTTGTTCTCCCATTGTACTTGGCCTTGGTGAGGCCGCAGATGGAGTACTGAGTCCAGTTTTGGGCTCCACAATTAAAAGTGGATGTGTAGAAGCTTGAGAGAGTGCAGAGGAAAGCCACACACATGATCAAAGGTCAGGAAAACTGACCTTATGATGAGAGGCTGAGAGCCATGGGACTCTTCAGCCTGGAAAAGTGCAGGCTCAAGGGTGATCTGGTGGCCACCTATAAGTTTATCAGGGGTGCTCACCAGGGTCTGATGAGAGCGCCCCAAGGGATGACAAGCTCGAACAGTCACAAATTCCTCCATGACTGTTTTAGTTTGGCTATAAGGAAGAACTTTACTGTCTGAGCCCCCAAGGTTTGGAATAGACTGCCGCTGGAGGTGGTTCAAGCACCTACTTTGAACACCTTCAAGAGACATTTGGATGTTTATCTTGCTGGGATCCTATGATCCCTTCTGGCTTTCTGTTCCTGGGGCAGGGGGCTGGACTCGATGATCTTCCAAGGTCCCTTCCAGCCCTAATGTCTATGAAATCTATGAATCTCCCTTGGGTCCAGACCCACCTCCCTTCCTCTGCAT